CTCATCAGCGAGCTCCACGCAGAACCCCCGGGAGCGCCCCTGGGGTACAGCCGCGCCCCGCCCCCGACAGCCGGCAGCGCCCCGCCCCCGACAGCCGCGCCCCGTCCCGCAGAGCCGCGCCCCGTCCCGCCGGGGTTGCCGATTTTGGTGAGAACGATCCCTGGAGGTTTCATCCCGGGACACAAACTGCAAGGAAAGATTCAGCTCCAATTCCCGGAACCTCCAGGACAATGCTGGACGGTTGGCTCCCCACGCCCCGCTTACAGGCGGTAGCCTCCCGGCGGGGTACAAGCCGCGCCCCCCCCCACCCCTTAGAGCCCCCGGCGGGGTACAAGCCGCGCCCCCCCCACCCCTTAGAGCCCCCGGCGGGGTACAAGCCCCGCGCCCCTGCAGGGAGCAGCCGCGTCTCCCACCCAGCCCCCCTTAGAGGCCCCCGGCGGGGTACAAGCCCCGCGCCCCCCCCACCCCTTAGAGCCTCCCGGCGGGGTACAAGCCCCGCGCCCCCCCCCACCCCTTAGAGCCTCCCGGCGGGGTACAAGCCCCGCGCCCCCCCCACCCCTTAGAGCCTCCCGGCGGGGTACAAGCCCCGCGCCCCCCCCCACCCCTTAGAGCCCCCGGCGGGGTACAAGCCCCGCGCCCCTGCAGGGAGCAGCCGCGTCTCCCACCCAGCCCCCCCTTAGAGCCCCCGGCGGGGTACAAGCCGCGCCCCCCCCCCCCTTAGAGCCCCCCGGCGGGGTACAAGCCCCGCGCCCCCCCCACCCCTTAGAGCCTCCCGGCGGGGTACAAGCCCCGCGCCCCCCCACCCCTTAGAGCCTCCCGGCGGGGTACAAGCCCCGCGCCCCCCCCCCCCCTTAGAGCCCCCCGGCGGGGTACAAGCCCCGCGCCCCTGCAGGGAGCAGCCGCGTCTCCCACCCAGCCCCCCCTTAGAGCCCCCGGCGGGGTACAAGCCCCGCGCCCCCCCCCCACCCCCTTAGAGCCCCCGGCGGGGTACAAGCCCCGCGCCCCCCCCCACCCCTTAGAGCCCCCGGCGGGGTACAAGCCCCGCGCCCCTGCAGGGAGCAGCCGCGTCTCCCACCCAGCCCCCCTTAGAGCCCCCGGCGGGGTACAAGCCCCGCGCCCCCCCCACCCCTTAGAGCCCCCGGCGGGGTACAAGCCCCGCACCCCCCCCCACCCCTTAGAGCCCCCGGCGGGGTACAAGCCCCGCGCCCCCCCCCCCCCCCCTTAGAGCCCCCGGCGGGGTACAAGCCCCGCGCCCCCCTTTATCTGCCTGCTCTGCCCCGCCCCTCCCTGGAGGGAGCAGCGGCCGGGCCAGCCTCCACCCCGAACCCAGCGCTGCCCCGCGGCAGATGCCCCGGGGGGACGGGCTGCAGCGGCAGCCGTGAGGGGGGGACCCCTCGGTTCTGCGGGCGGGGGGGGTGCAAAGGCGAGCCCCGGCCGCAGCAAAGCGCGCCCGGCGGAGCGGGGCTGGAGCCCCCCAGCTGCCCCCCCCTTACCATGCTGGTGCCGGGCGGGGGCGCTGGCCGCTTTCTTACCGCGCGACTCTTAGGGGGTCGCTGTAAGAGAACTCGGGGGGCGCGCGGCGGCACGGCGGCTATATACCCTCCCGTCGCCATGGCGACGGGCCCGGGCTTCCCGTGGTTGGTCGGTCCGCCCGGCTCCGCCGGGGGATTGGTGCAGAGCGCGCGGGGGGGGGGATGAGGTAATGGCCCCGCCCCCTCTGTCCGCCCCGGCCCCCCCAGCCTGCAGACAAAGAGCGGGGCGGGGCAGCGGGGGGGGCCGCGGCTTTGCAGCCAGCAGCAGGGATCTGCAGCCAGATGAAATCCGGAGCATGCGTGACCCCCCCCAGCCTCTCACCGCATGGTGCGCGGAAAAGCAGGGGGCGACCCCCCCCCCGGGGCGGGCTGAGAGCGCCTGCATTTGAGGTCCCCAGCTGAGCCCAGAGCGGGGGGGAGCTGCCAAAGCAAGTACGTGGCTCACCCCCAAGACTGGGGGCAGGACAACCAAGGGACGAGGGGGCTCGTGTCTGGTGCCCCCCATCCCTGGGCAGTCGAGGGGCAGTCGGGCAGACTGGAGGAGAACAGTGGCGCTCTCGGGGCGGGGGGCGTATCCCCTGCAAGCGATTTCCTCCCGACCCCTGCTCTCTGCCCCCCGAAACGCACGGCAGAGTCCAGCCGGGGAGGGGCAAGAGCCAAGCAGCATCCGAGCGCCTCTCTCCAGGGCCGGAGTAGCCGGAAGCCTGATTCATCGATGTGTCTAGTGGGGCGGGGGTGGACACTCGCTTTGAGCAAGACGGGTCCCCGTGAGCGGGCTCCGAGCCCGGGGAGCCGGGAAGGACCTGGCTAGGTGCTGGAACGGGGGGGCTGCACCCCCTGCGTGCCGTGGTTTCCCTCATATGCAGGGTTTGCAGTTTGGTTCCATGGTTCTCAGCGCCCCCAGCGTAGGGATGGCTCCAGCCCCCCGCCTGGCACCCTGACCCGGCCCACACAGCTGTGCTGCTGGGGAGCAGTTGGCATTCTGGACATGGGAGAATTATACGGGGGGGGTGGAGCTGGGGGGGCCGGTATGCAGGGCTGCAAGCACCAGATCACCCTTGGAGCCCTGCATCCCCATCTTCAGAAATGCGCCCACCCCATGGAACCAGCTGCTCCCTCTCCGCAGGGCTGTGGTGAGCAGCGTCTGTCCTTAGCATAGCTTGGGTGTGGTGGGTTTTGTAGTGGGTTCAACCTGCAGCAACCCCGAGCAGGGATACAGAGCCAAGACCTCGCCTTCCAGATTTCGGTGGCACGCAAGAGTGGGATGCAAGTGTAGGTGCTGGAACTAGGGGTGCTGGGGGTGCTGCTGCACCCCCTGGCTCATATACAGGGTTTACAGTTTGCTTCAATGGCTCTCAGCCCCCCCCCCCATTATACAAATTGTTCCAGCCCCCCGGGATTGTAAGGCAGCGGGGGTGTTTTGTGGGGTGGGTAGTACAGGGGGGTGTCTTGCAGCTGTGATGTCTCCCTTTTCCGCAGGGTGAGATCAGAGTCTCTTTCCCGGGTCTGCAGGCGCCTTTACACACCCATTTCTGCAGGGCTGGCAAGGGAGGCGAGGGGGTAGAGAGAGGACAGGCAGCAGCTGCTGCAGGTGGAGCCGTGAGACTGGCTGCTTTGTTGCAGGCTGGAGAGCAACATTTTCCATCCCTCCCTGCAAGAAATCCAAATTTTCTGCACATTTCCCACATTCTGTAGCTGCTCTGGATTCCTGCTCCCCATCTTTCTCACTAGTTTGACACATTTCTGCCCCCCTCCCATTTCCCTCCTCATCCATATTTTATTTTTTTTAAATAACTCATCAGTCCCAGACCCCTGGCTATTTTGGGGCAATAACATCCCAGTGAATATTGGTCCCAACCCCAAGGAGAACTGGCCCCCACGAATGGTCAAGATCTGCACCATGGCAGCACACATAGACTGTACCTGGATAATAAAGGACAAAGACCTCCTAGACCCAATCCGCCTTCCTGCCGAGCAGGCTGGTTCCCTACATTCCCCAGGGGGCTGATGAGATACAAGAAGAATCCAGGTTTCAGGGTAGCAGCTGTGTTAGTCTGTATTCGCAAAAAGAAAAGGAGGACTTGTGGCCCCTTAGAGACTAACCAATTTATTGGAGCATGAGCTTTCGTGAGCTACAGCTCACTTCATCGGATGCATTCAGTGGAAAATACAGTGAGGAGAAGAATCCAGGATTGCAGAGGCACAGCTGAACAAAGGAACTTCTGGGCTCATTGAGGACCAGAGGGCCAACTCCTCAGCGGGTGCAAATTAACTTCAATGGAGCTGCACTGATTTACACCAGTTGAGGATGCAGCCCAGGGAAAGGGTCCGTATCCGGTTTCAGAATTTGGCCATGGTCAGAGCTGGGCTTTTTCATCAAGTTCATCTCCACCCACAGAAACCTATAAATCTCCAACCGTGTTGTAGTGAAACAAATGGAAACAACACCCTGCCCTTGGCTCCAGCCCGTGCTCTGCGTGGAGAGCTGTCAGGACTCCTAGCTAAACCCCAGGACACAGCAAAATGCTACATTTGCCTTTACACTGACAGTAGTTTATGGTAGAACATGCTGCTTCCTGGAGATGTGTCTCATCCAAGCAGCATGAGAAGAGGAAAGTCCAGGAAATTCAATTCCCTGTGGGGACTTGTCAAGTTCTCAGGGTCTTTTTGCTCCGGTTTGTAAATGGGCTTTGCGGCGCATTAGTGACTGGAAGATCCACGGCTGAAACATAATCCGCCATTCGAACACTCACCACAAGCAGTTCCATGCTTACGGGATGGAGCACAGGAAATGTCTTTTGCCTTTTCTTTTCCTCCCTGGCTTCCTTCTATTTTACTCTAATCTATGGCCTTAGCTACACCTGGGGGCAGATCCTCGGCATGTGTCAATTTACACCTGTCAGGAATCTGCCCTGGTTCCAGCTATTGTTGTAGTGGCACCAGTGAAAATAGCAAGCCCCCGTCTACACTAGGGGTTTGCACGGGGGCAGTTACACCAATGACGGTAACCTACCTTTATGATCCAGAGAGGTGGGGCGGGGCAGGTGGGGGGAACAGGGTGGCTGTATTGAGGGTGGGAGTTCTATGCCATTGATTAAGGCATAGAACTGAGGATCAAGAGGCCTGGGCTCTGTTCCCTGTGCGAGGCACAGTGGTGTCACCTGGGGCAAGTTAACGAGCCCATCTGAACCTCCATTTCTCCAGCTGCACAATGGTGGGTAATATAAAGACCCACTTCCCAGAGGGCTGTGAGGGTTAATTCTTTAATGTCTGCAATGCACTTTAAGATCTGGGGTGGAAGGTGCTCTGTAAGGGCAAAGCATTATGATCCCAGATCATCCCCTATTTGGGAAAAATCTAGGTAGGAAACAATCAAGTGCATTTCAACATGCAGTTCCCTCCATCTCCCAGCAACCCCCCAGCTCTCCACGCTTCTATACAGCTGCCTGGTTCCTCTCTCCTGTCCTGGCTCCTTGGCAGCCTGGTTGTGGCAGGAGCTGGGCTGCCAGACAGTCCGCTGCAAGCTCAGCACAGAGGCAGAACTTGCCTAAATTAACGCTGGCCATGAAATGTCCAAGGAAGCCGACTGGGCCGTCGCGACAGTGGCTACTCCTCCCCTCTTTCCAGTGTTCCGTCCTTGGAGCTTGTGTTTCAGTCCCTGCATCATTTTCTTCTGGTCGGAGGAAACAGTAAGAAACCGCAGGCCGCGCTCCTCCCTGAGGTCACCCGCCGAAGCCAGCTGAGGAATCCGGCCCCACGCTTTCAGCCTGGGTTTCAGGAGCAACTTGCCCTACTCCTGCTGGGTGAGGAGGCCAGGTGCTCGGCCCCTGTGTGCCCTCAGTGCTGCTCTCTCCTGCCCCCTCCCCAAACCATCTGCTCTCACATGAGCTCGAGCAGCACCACGCTGCTTATCCCTGCTTAGGATCAGGCCAGGGCAGAGCACGGCGGCTGGAAATAGAAGCCAAGGGTGGGTCAGGTGTGGGCTAACCAGGGTTTTGAGGCTGGAGCAGACAGCCGGCTCTTAGCGCCTTTCATGGAAAGCTGGAATGCCCTGCTGTCCACCCGCCATGCCCAGCTTCCCTTTCAGAACAGGCCACGCTCTGCCCGGGTTCGTATCTCTGTAGTGCTGCACTGTGACTTTTCCAGCAGTGCTGTGTGTCCTGGGGTGTGTGTGTGTGTCTCTTTGGGGATACGGGGCACCACCCACATAGGGCTGGATGGCACTGTATCTCAGCACACTCAGAACCCTCCCCACAAGATCCGGCCCCGCGCCAGCCTCACGCAAGGCAGCTGGCACGGCTTCATCCCCATGGCAGTTTAGGGGGTGCTGTGCTACGGCCCACAGTGCCATCTTTCAGGTGAGAGTTAGAGCAGGGGTCTGGGCATCAGGACTCCCAGGTTCCTTTCCGTGCACTAGGAGGAAGGAAGGACTAGTGGTTACAGCAAAGAGCTGGGACTCCTGGGCTCTGTCCTCAGCCCCGCACGGTGACTTTCTGTGAATCGCCTCATTACTTCGTGCCTCGGTTTCCCCATCTGTAATGTGGCATTTATACCACTCATTCCTTTAACAGGGGAGCTGTGAGACTGGATTCATTGAAGTCTGTGAAGCATCTTCAGATCCTGGGTGGAAGGTGCTGGGGAAGGGCAGCGGGCTGTGATTACAGGAAGAGGTAAAGGCTCTATGGGTGCAGCAGAGAAATCAATGAAGTGTCCCCAGGAGCGGGTCCAGTGTGCTGTGGAATAAAATCGATGGCTCCATCCCAAGGAGACAGGAGCCCCAGAGATGCTTGCTGTCTAATTAGGTATGTAAGACAGAGCCCTGCTCATCTGCTGCTAGGCAACGGGTTGTTCAGTTGCTAGGAGACGGAACAGGAATCCCTGGTGGCATCTGGTCTCCCTTTATCACCTAGCAAGTCATATGACTGGGCCCCAGGAAAGCTGTCCTGGGAGGGGGAGAGAGAGGAGAGGGGATAGGGAGGGAGGAGAATAGAAAAGAGAGACAGTGAGACAGCTGGGGAAACAGGGAGGGCCCCCCCCCCCAACGCTATTGTCCCCCCTGGCTGGCTGACATTCAGATGTTAATAAGAAAGGCCAGATCCAGGGGGTTTCTTTTCTTGGCGGGGGGGGGAGGGGGTGTCACATTATTTCTCAAGACACTTTCCTGGGCCTGGTCCCTTTCTCAGCCCCACCCCCATCAGAGAGAGCTGAGGCTGCATTTCTCCTGCATGCTGGTGTCTCAGGAGCTAAAGCCGAGAGGCCTGGAGGAGGAGGAAGGAGACGAATCCAGGCTGCTGCAGTGGAGAGCCGAGTGCGGGGTCCATGGCACCCACATTCCGACCAAGCAAGCTCCGTGGGACTGATGTCATTCGAACGCCAGCCAGAGCCAGGAGTGGGTCTTCCAGGGGTAGCACAGCTCCGGTCTGAGATGGTAGCGCTGTTTCTGTCCGGGAACGCTGGTGTCACGGGGTCCCCAGGCGATGCTCGGGAACTGCTCCCCAGGAAGCCAGGCAGGACTCTGGGGAAGTCTCCTCTCGGGGAGCAGCCTGTCTGCAGGACACACAGCTCACCCGGCTCCACCTTCCTGAGTCTGACCTCGGAGCCTTCAGCATCCTCTGCCCCTCCGTGCGCTTCCCACAGCCAGTCCGCCCAGGCGGGGTCCTGGGGCAGCCAGAGGGTCCTGCACCCCAACTTCACAGTCAGACGGGACTCTCAGCCAGCCAGTAAAACAGAGGTTTATTAGATGACAGGAACATGGTCTAACACAGAGCTTGTGGGTGCAGAGAACAGGACCCCTCAGCCGGGTCCATTTTGGGGGGCAGTGAGCCAGACAACCACGTCTGCCCTTCACTCCTCATCCCCGGCCAGCCCCAAACTGAAACTCCCTCCAGCCCCTCCTCCTCTGGGCTTTGTCCCTTTCCCGGGCCAGGAGGTTACCTGATTCCTTTGTTCTCCAACCCTTTAGCTCTCACCTTGCAGGGGGGAAGGGCCTAGGCCATCAGTTGCCAGGAAACAGGGTATCGGCCCTTCTTTGTGTCCAGACCCCTGCACACACCTGCCCTCCAGGCTCTGCAAGGACCATACACCCTTATCCCACCCCCTAGATACTTAAGAACTGCCTAGGGGAAACTGAGGCACACTCACACTATTCAGAGGAAACATTAAGAACAGTCCCACTTCGTCACAGCTGGGACGTTAGAGACCCATCTGAGGCATAGACAGACAGACAGATGCCCATCATGACACCCAGACAAAGCCACACTCAGAAATAAAGGCCCAGTTATACTCACAGCTCTCCAGCCCATCTGCACAGCCACTTTAACACACACACACCAGCACACACACACTGGCTCACACGCACGCACGCACGCACAACCCCAGTCCTCGTGGCAGGTCAGCAGTGACTCGAGCAATGGCCTGTGTGCAGTGAGTTTGGTGGATCTCAGTCCAGCTCCCGTTGGTCAGCTGTCCACATCTCAGCTAGCAGTGACCAGCCCCTTTGCTGGCAGTCTCAGCAGAGAGGCCAGGGCTGAATGAGCCATGGGGACTGAACCCCCTTTCCCTGCTGGGGGAGGGAGCCTCCCAAGGTAGGCTGAACAAGACAAGGGCAGTCTGGCTTGTACCTTTGCTGGGGATAAAGGAAGAATGGGAGTTTCTAATCTCATTGACTGGAGCAGCCAGGGACGAGCTGTTCTGTTGGCCTTGGCCTGGAGCGATACCCACGACCAGGAGGCAGCTCTGACTCTCCCATCTGGCACTGGATCCGGGGCCCCCCCGGGTTCCAGGCCCTCGGAGCGCCTCTCCAAAGCGTTGTTAGAGTCCCGGAGAAGTGTCTTCTCTTGTGTCCCGTGGGGAGCACTTGCCGTTCTCCTGAGCCCGTGCCTCGCTGCTTTCCTCGCCTTTGGCCTTGCAGAACAGAAGCACACGATGCTCTGGCACTGGGGCCTCCGGCTTCTCCCGACCATGCCAGATCTGTAGAGCAGAGACGACTGGCTCCGTGGCCCTCTCTCTTTCCCCAACCTCCTTCCTCTGGGCTCTCCGAGCTGGAGAGGGCGGACGGGGCCCCTGGCCTCTGAAAGAGACTGAGCTGTACAGGCAGCCTCCTGGGCCCCAGAGAGAAGCATGGGGGGGACCACTGGGAACCTTCGACTTGTATCCTGAGGAGGAGGAACATGGAAGAACCCATGTGTCCCCTGGATGGTTCCCCCAGCACCGCCGTGCCCCCTGGACGTTCCCCCGGCCCCGCCGTGCCCCCTGGACGTTCCCCCGGCCCCGCCGTGCCCCCTGGACGTTCCCCCGGCCCCGCCGTGCCCCCTGGACGTTCCCCCGGCCCCGCCGTGCCCCCTGGACGTTCCCCCGGCCCCGCCGTGCCCCCTGGACGTTCCCCCGGCCCCGCCGTGCCCCCTGGACGTTTCCCCGGCCCCGCCGTGCCCCCTGGACGTTTCCCCGGCCCCGCCGTGTCCCCTGGATGGTTCCCCCGACCCCGCCGTGTCCCCTGGACGGTCCCCTGGGCCCAACATCTCCACGAGACAGAACAAGCTTCCTTTCCGGCTGCATTTTGTGTATTGTTGGTAGCAACCAGCAGCTCCCTAGCGACTGTTGCCTGGCCTCCCCGGCTGTGTTTGCAGGCGCAGGGTCAGCGCCAGAGGGGCAAAGATAAAACCCGTCTGAGGAAAGCGTCCAGGGCCGTTCGGAGCCTGTTACCCCCACAACCGCCCCGCAGCGAACACACAAGCAGTGCAGGGGAGTTACACAGCAAGGACAGGCTGCTGTCGGTGTAGGGGAGCCCCAAACCCCAGCAGTTCCTCCTCAGTGCCACTCGCAGACCCGGTGCAATGCACCAGTTAGCGCTGGTCCCACCGGCGCTGGGGAAGTGGGGTCTGGCTGGCTCAGGGCTGGACTGGGGTACAGAGCCTTTCACCCTCGGTTGCTGGCTTCAATCTGGCCCCAGGCTAGCGGGATCCCTGGCTGCAGGGTGGCCCGGGGTTACATGAGGCAGGGCGTGCGTGTCTCTGTCGGCTCCCAGCAGGTACCAGCCTCACCAAACGACCCCCAGAACTGAGCTCCTGGTACTGCGGGACAGAGATGGGGCAAGTGGCTGGGAAAGCCTGCTCTGTGCGGCTGGGGCTGGCCAGGAGCCCTACGGCCGGCTTTGGGGGATAGAGAGCGGTGGTGGCTGCATTGGTTACGTGGCAGTGGGGGATCTTCCCCTCTCCCGCCTTTTCATGGGGGAAGACAGATCGAGCGGCACTCAGGATTCGGATTAAGATCATCCCAGTGCCCGTGTTCCCTGAGTCCTTGCACCCCAGAACTTTTCCATGGGGTACGCGCAGCTCTCCCTTGAACGTAGCACCGCGCCCCTCCAGTCTGACCCGGCTTCCCCTCCGCCATGGGCTAAATGGCAGCCAGTCGTGTGGCAACCCAGTGTGCCAGGTCGTAATGCCGCCCAGTTTGGGTGCCCTCCCACAGGGGCCCCGGGCAAACTGCCCCTTTTGCCCCCCTCTCGGGGCGGCCCTGCCCTGGCACTGCTGAGCGCGGTGTGCAAAGTTCGGACAGCTGTGGGTGCCGCTGCCCCTCCCCAGGGCCGTGCTGATGGGGTGAGACAGGGAGCAGAGATCCCCAGTCTTGGTGGCTCCAACCGGCCAACCGCCACCTTCCCCTTCTCCTGGATTATTCCCTGGGGGGAATCTGCTGAGCCAGGAGCCAGAGCAGTGTGCACAGAGAGGGGCCCGGGCCAGCAAATTTGGATCAGGGTCTAAGGTTCTTGTTTGTTCCATTAGAGAGCGGGACCCAGCTTTCCGCTTCCCAGGTGTCTGGAGCTTGGGCTGAGGTTTGGGCTCCTCAGAAAAATCCTTTGTGTCTTTTAGTCTCTTAAACCACCTACCAATGCAGATGTCCAGACCCAGGAGAGCTCCTAGCTCTGGTGGGAAGATCCCGGCCACCTGCATGCACTAAACTGTCAGCTCCCTTCTCCCCAAGGGGGGTTCTCTGATAAGCTCTGCGCAGTGCAGCGAGGACACACATCTGCATGCATGCTGCATCCCCCCGGGGCGGCTCCTTTGCATCCAGCACCAGCCCTGGCTGGGTGGCTCGCGGGAGAGCAAACCTGCAGCTCAAACCCCCTCAGCGGCATCCAGCTCTTCCCCCCACCCTTGTCTCACTTGCCGCTTTCTGGGGAGGGCTGGCGGTTGACACCCTCCCGCTTCCTTGTCTCTCAGCAAAGAGACCCAAAGCCCTTGCCCATGGGCCTAGTCCTTAGCCCCATCTTGCACCCCCACTGCATGACGCTGGTGTGTGCCCGGCACTGTCCCAGCCGCCTGCTTTCTTGGTCTGCAAACGCAGCGATTTTCTTTGTTTGGCTGACTGAAAACATTTAAAATAAATAAAAAACAAAACAAATAACAGGGTAGGAGGGAACCTCCCCCCCTCCCAGCTTCCTCCTGTTTCATGGGGCTCCTCCCACTGCTATTCCTTGAGCTCCCTCTGCAAACACCCCCCAAATCCCAGGCCCACCCAGCAAGTACCAAGAGCTTGGTGTGGCAAGGGTGTAACTGTGGGTCCAGCACTCAGGTGCCCCTTGGAAACGCAGGGGGGCTCCCTCCCAGAACAAGGGAGGATCCCCCGGCCCTGGTGGAGAAGGATGCGGGACAGAATGTCTCCAGAACTGGTCAGTTTGGGGAGGCAGTGACAGGAACGGTGGATGGAGGCAGGTTCCTGCTAAATGGGCAGGGAAGTAAAATGGAGAGGTGGGAACCAGGAGGTGCCCAGGCTCAGCCACAATAGATAGGGAGGTGTCCTGATTCCTTGTGGGGGTGGAGGTATCATCTCTCCATCCGGACCCTGCAGAGAGCACAGACAAGCTTGTTTTCCCATGGGTACGAGCAGGGCCAATCGCCCCTGGCCCAGGGGAGGCGGGCGCCCCTGGCTGCAGGTCCAGGAGCATGGACCAGGCTGGCTCAGCCTTCAAGGGACGAACGAATCCCACCACCACCCGCATATTAAAGCCCAATGCAGAGATTGTCCGGGCTCCCTTCTGTGCAGCGGCCCTGGCGGAGGGCAGGGCCTTCCACAAACTCCAGCTCGGCAATTCCTCTCTCTCTTGTTTTCCCACATCCAGATGTGCAGCTTCAAGAGCATCAGATTTTCCAGCTGCCGGATCCAGGACCCCACGGCTGGGCCAATGTTCCTGTCTCTCAAACACGTTCCAGCCAGATGTAAGCAGCCTCTGTGATGAACCCCAGGACAGACACCCCCGTGGCGTCCCAGCCAGAAAGCAAACGTCGGAGAGATGTAGGTGGGGGATGGGGAGCAGCGCATCTGTGTGGGCCTCAGGGGGCAGAGCAGCTGCTCGGGATGCCAGCAGAGACTCACAAAACACACCGTGTTTAAACCCGTGTGGAACTCGTTTGTGGCCCAGCTGGTGTCCCTATGTGTTTGGATTCCCCTCCCACCCTCTCCCGCTTGTGTGGACAGGAAAAAAGCAATTAAACGTGCCCTAACCATGTACCGGAACCATCAGAACCCCGATCCCCCTCCCCAGCATGTTTATAATGTGGTCTGTGCCTGTCCACCTAGCCGGGGAAAATTCAAGTTAGAACATAGCTGAACCCCACCTGGGTTTAAACCTGGTGATTTCTTGCAGTGTAGATGGGACCTGAGGACCCGGCTATCTTGGCACTCGTATGGCCTTCGTCACAGTATTACCTGCATGCCTCACTGGTGGATTTTTATCCTGAGTCCGGGAAGGATCGTCCCCCCTGGGGAGCTGAGGCACTTGACAGAACTCAGCAAGGAATGGCACCCCCTTGACTCCCAGGCCAGGCCAATGCCCATCCTACTAGGCCACCTCCTTCCTACCCACACAGAGATGGCAAAGACCTGTTAGACCACCCAAGCTAGGGCAGGCTGCAGTCCCCTGATACGGAGGGGCCTTGGCCAGAGCGTGAGGCACAGAGTCAGGAACTCTGATTTAGTTGGGGTTGGTCCTGCTTTGAGCAGGGGGTTGGACTAGATGACCTCCTGAGGTCTCTTCCAACCCTGATATTCTATGATTCTATGAACTCCTGGGTCCCACTCCCAGCCCTGGCTTGCTGGGTAACATCATGCCTCTGTTTTGCCTTCTGTGAAATGGGAGTAAACCTCCTGCCTGCCCTGCGGTGGGGAGGGTGAAGTGCTTCGGGATCCTTGGCTAGCAGGGCAATAGAAGGACTGTCACTCTGCACGAAGGCTTAGCCAGATCATCCCCACCCTGCTCATATGCAGCCTGAAGACACGGCAGGAAAAGCCACAGCTTAGTGAGGGGAAAGGAGCAGCATGGGTCAGGGCTAACGGGGGGCAGGAGAAGAATGGGGAACAGGACTCCTGTAAATTGCACTTAGCCGGGTTAGTTCTGCTGGCAGCTGCCCCGGCCCTCTGAGCTAATGAAATGGTGCAGAATGGAACAATTCTCCCACAGTGAATCAATGCAGAAGGAGATGAAGGAGGGGAACTATGGGGAGGAAATGCATGTCTACAATAAGAAAGGCTTCAGGGAAGGAAGCTGCTTTGTGCCCCAGCAGCTTGGGGCGGGGCTGCAGCAGCTGGGCCAGCAGCCCATTGGTGGATCTCAGCAGAATGAGTCAAGCCCTTTGTGTCCTTTAAACATGCCTGTCACAGCAAAGGCAGATGGGACCCTTTGCACCTTTGCTCTGCTTAGCAGGGGTGTTGAACCTGTGTGTGCGTGTACCGGCTGTGTGTACATGGAGGTGGATGCGTTGCAATCAGAGAGGCGCGTGTGTGAGGCTGTGGTTTCTGTGCATGCAGCGGATCGTGCTATTGCCCAGGGCTCAGATTCAGCTTTTGCCAGCCCTTCCTGCTCCAAATCCCACTGAAGTCAATAGAAAGCCCCCGATGGGGCTGGATCAGGCCTGAGCTGGTCACTTGGCCGGCAGGCCTCAGCCAAGGGGGGCACATGTTTCTTCACACAATTTGAGAAGCAAAAGCGATTCCTTTGTCGCTGAGTCTAAACCAAAAGGCTCGTCACCACTGGATGCAGGGTAAAAAAACACATCGCATTTGGAAACCCCCGGAAAAGTATTCCTATGAATAATAAATAACGGTAATGAGATCTGACTATTTCCCAATTACTAAACAAATATCAACCAATGCATCTGACAAGCCGTTAACTTGCAGTGTGTTTTAATCATTCTTATGCTTATCTTTAAAATCAGTATATGTTATTCCCCTGGTCTGGTCTAGTATGGCAGTTCCTGCGTTCCTGTTCCTCCTGAAAAACCGTCCAGTGCTTATCTAGCTAGCTATCCCCAGAGAGACCTATCTGTGGGTCACCGAGTGCATGGTTTTGGCCAGCATAGGTGTTAAATGTATCTTGCTCCATGGCAGACTGTGAAACCACGCAACAGCCATATCAGCAACAGCCACACTGGGAAAGGCTCCTGTACTTGACAACTATTGTTCGCCAAGGCGGCTGTTCACACGGTTGGGGCTCCGGGAAAGGCAGGGTCTCCACCGGCCTCTCTTTAACCCAAAGGAGCTTTCGGGGTGGAGCTAAATGCCTTGAAAACTATAGTTCACAATAGCAACGCAAAACCAGAGCTGTCTTCTTTTGGGAGCAAGGCTGTGCAGTGGGTAGAGCAGAAGACTGGCCACCTGCATTCTAGGCTCTAGTCCCAACTCTGCCAGTGACTCACTTGGGCAAATCACTTCCTCTCACTGTGCCTCAGTTTCCCCATGGGGTTTGAAAGGGAGTTGTGGCACTTTTGTGGCACCACTCTTTGGAAAATGCCTTGCGCTTTCAGGAGAGGAGCAGGAGAGTCGGGCAAAGGAGATTTGTGCGTCTCCCCTCCCTTTCCGGGGCACGGCCCGCTCTCCCCGTGTGCTGGATGAGAGAGCATTGCAGAGGAAAAGCGTGGGTAGATCTGGTCTGGGGGCAGAGCCCAGTGTCAGGGGAGACACAGGGTTTGTGTGACAGCCTCAAAAGGCCTTTTAGGTCCTGGCTGCACCCTCATTTCTACTCAGTGAAAACGCAGCTCAGCCTTGCACCGCGTACGGCCCAGAACCACATGCCCGGTTTGGACCTTGCAGGGTTGGTCGGGTTAAAACTCAGCTCTGGGCCTGGCCGCAGGAACTAACCATGTTTGAGCCACGTCCCTAAACCAGCTCACAAGGCTGCCAAGTCTCAGGAAGGGCGGGCGAGCGGGCTGGGCGCTGGCGTGGGCTCAGGTCTCTGTCCCCCAGGCCCTGCTCTGAGACCAGGGCTAACCCCTCCCTGCCTGGCTGGAGTGCTGGGAGGCTGACGCAGAGCATGGGGAGAGGTCAGTACAGCAGCGAGCTGGGCTGGGGAGCCACGGGTCTAGGCAGACACGGACGGTTACCGCATGGGCTGCTGGGACCCCAATAAACCCATGGCCCGGCCCTAGCCACGCTGCGAGGTTCGAGCTGGGTTGGACCTGGGTCCCTCGATGCAGCAGCAATCGGGAGGGGCCGTTGGAAAGGTCTCAGATCCCCTCCTCCACCTTCATAGAGCCTGTCAGAAACACATTTCCCACTGGCCCCCCGGCATTGCACGACAGGGGACAATCGGGGAGGGTCTCGCCCGACCCCTCCCCCCCCCACAGGAGGGGAGCTGGCAGATCCGCTGACATCAGGGATGGGCCTGAGCAGGAGGGAGACCCCCCCCCGCCCACGTCCGGCCATGCCCCAGATGCTCTGGTTTCATACCAGGCTGTTCCTGGTCCCCTCACAAAGGCTGGACAAAGGGGCCGTGCAGCTGCAGAAAAAAGCGGCCCAGCTCCCTCCCCTGCGTCCCCCTCTCCCGCTCCCTCTGTCTGTCTCGCCCGCCCCGCCCCAGGCCCTGCGGCAGGGAGGAGGCGCCCGCGGTTTGGGAGGGGTCTGTGGGCCAGCTGGCTGCTCCCGGATCTCCCAGGCCCACACGTTGACAGTCGCTCCCCTCCCCGGGGGGATCCACCCACTGCCCCTCTCGTCCTTCCCCCCAGGGTGGTTCTGCCTGGCAGCTGGGCTGGGCTGTCCGGCCGGCGGGGGGCTATCGCTGAGCTGGGGGGCCTCCGTGGCCTGCGGGGAGAGCTTCTGGCAGCTGGGGCCAGCAGCCTGGGTAACGCCCTGTCACTCAGGCGGCTGATGGCGAGGCCAGGTCGGGAGAGACCGGCCGGCTGGCCTAGGGATGCCCCTTGCCTGAGCCCTGCGTCCCGCTGTGTCTCTCTCCCTGCGCCCCACACGCTGGGGATGAGCCATTTCCTGGCGGAGGAGCCCCACGTGCCTTCGCTCCATGTCTCCTTTCGCAGACGGTTTCCAGCATTTCTGATCCAGGCAGATACCGACATGACGGTGACACAGAAACGTCTCAGGGAGCCGGGCTCCAGCCTTGGTGCTGGGGTCTGGCTGGGAAGCCAGGGAGAGCAGCGGGGGGCGGGGAGCATGGCTCTGGGTTTCCAGTTCAGGCAACTCCCCTGCAAAGCACATCACCTGCCCCCACCGACTGCTCACCCCTCGGCCATCCCCACACACCGCCATGACCCCACCCAGCCAAGGAGGGCGGATTAAAGACCCTTTGACCTGGGATCTGGACACCGGGAACTGAGGCAGCGAGAAGCCAAGCACCAAACCGAGCCCTGGCACAAGCCAGTGCAAGAGGCCGGATGATGCCCCCACCAGGCCCCACAGATCTCTCTGGGGTGGGGGCAGTGAGGGGAGTCCAGTGCTGTCCTGGGGAACCGAAGGGCTCATGCTACAGGGCCCCACCCAGCACTAGCAACCCTAGCGTGGGACGAGTCCCAGAGCCAGACGCACAGGACGTGCCTCTGGCTCGTTGCCACCTCGCGGCTCGCTCGGCCCGTTGGCAAAGCAGCCACGGAGCAGGGGCGCGGCTCGGGACTGGCTCCTTGTGGCTACCCACCGTGGGGGAGGGGGTCGCTGCAGACGTGGGCTCTGTGAAGGGGAGAGGAGGAGGAGCCGAAGACCGCATTGCGGCAAAGCCAGGGATGGAAGGAGGGGGAGAGAGGACCGAGATGAAGCAGCAGCCGCAGCGCCTGTGAGTCCCCCCTGTGTTTGCATTTCAGATGCATGGGGGTCTGTGCCATTGCAGGTCCACTAGGGTTGGGGTGTTAGAAACACTCCCTTCGGTGGCTATTATGGGATGTGCATGGCAGCTCCGGCCTGGCCCAGGACCCCGGGCACTGCACAGACACAGAACATGTCTGTGCAAAGCTTTGCAAGTGGACAAGGCTAATTATCAATGGCGATGGACCCAATCCCCAGAACCCAGCCCCTCGCCCCATGGTTTGGGGTGCTCAAAATCCAGTCCCAGCTCTGACTCGTCTTTCCTTCATGCCAACCCCCCAGGCCGGCGCCCTCTCTCCCCACGCTGCGGGACCTGGGGGGCTGAAGGTCTTGGTGCTCACCAGGTGGTTACTCCCCTGCTCTGAGCAGGGGGGGTGCTGAGCACGCAACTGAGCCCTGGTGGGAGGGGGCTGAGCTTTCTCAGAGGTCTGGCTGCTTAGGGAAAGTTCAACCCCCACCCGGTTCTGTGGGTTGACGTGCAACCAGCCTTTCCCCCCCCACCCCCAGAGCTTCATGCGTGTCACTGAACTCAGAGTAGGGCTGCCACCTCTGAGGTGACAAACACTGGGATGTCCGGGATGAACTGGAACCTGAGAAACTGGAGAGCTGGGAGCAGGTACCAAGCCCCTGGACAGATTTCCCAGGACCTGGACAGGTGCCAGCCTTAACTCAGCTCAGCCAGCCCCCAAACTCAGCTCCCGCCCATGTGAGCCGAAGGAGATTCTCCATTAGCTCCCAGCAGTGCCGGGCCTATGTCACACAGTAAAGCCGCTCTGAGGCAGTGCTGCACTAACCCCTTCAGGACAATATCCAAAGGTTTCTTTCAACACCAGCTCGAATTCCGCCTCCGAACATGGTGAATAATACCCAGTGTGGTGGGGGGTGGGGAGCGGGTCAGGACAATGTGCTGAGTCGGATGCGTGCATGCTGCAGGTCCCCGGGCCTCGGTGCGTCTCCCTTCACTTCCACTGAGCCATGGGGGGGGCTTTTGAAAATCTTACTCGTCATCTGTCTGTGCTTCAGTTTCTCCAGCTGGAAAGTGGGTAAAATAAAACCCCTGGCCGGCCTCCCTCGCACTTGAAATCCAGGCGGGTTCCCTATCGCTCTAGCCTTGTCTGGCGCGCACCCGCGGGGTGAGACACCAGAGAGGACTGCATTTCCCTGAGTCCCGGGGACGAGGGAGTCCTGCATGTGTCATTTGTAAAGCGCTGGCTGAACAGAGCACTAGATCAGGGGGAAGTAAAGGAACAATGCTCGGTATGTGCTTTGCTGAGCTGCAGCCTGCCGGGCTCACGGAGCCAGCCCAGTGCAGGGTAAGGCAGGGGGGCAAACGCTGTTGCCACAGTTTGCAAAGGGCTGGTCTGTGCCCACAACCCACGGGCCACCCCGGGCCTCCGGCAAAGGGAACATTTAGCTGCAGCGCCGCCTCCGGGAAGCAACGCGAACCGGCAGCGCAAGGGAAGGGCGGAGGCCTGCAGCAAAATCTGTCCAGTGGGAAGCCATCACCACGCCAGGGTCTGCAGCCTGGTGCGCAGGTCCCCACCCTGGTGAGACTCGCACCCGCGCCCGGGCAGCTGCTTAGTCATTCAGCAGTGAAAGACCCCGGGACAAGCTCTGCCCCTGGGCGACCTCTGGGTAAAGCCCAGGGGGTTTCCAGCAGGGAAACAAGGGCTTGGTTACACTTGAACTGCGCTGTCAGGCCAGTTTAGCAACACTGCTCTCGTTCACACCCCGACAGGTGCTGAAACGAGGGGTGCGGGTGGCTGCAGCACCCCCTGACTTGAAGAAGTTTCCACTCTCTACAGGGTTTCCAGTTTGATTCAGTGACTCTCAGCCCCCCACTGTACAAATTGTTCCAGCAGCACCCCTGCATCCCGACCGACATGGTTAAACCAGCCTCACCTGCGAGTGTGGACCAGGCCGAAGAGCAGAATTTGGGCCTGTTCCCAGACTTGGCAGGTGCTGCTGGGTGGCCTGGCGCTGACCGTCCCTGAAGAGCCATCGCACCGCAATTGAAGTCTGCCAGCTAACACGGTCCCTCCCGATCAACCGGGCGTGGGGCTCAGGAGCCGGGCGTTCCTCACTCCTGGCTGCCTGGCTGGAGAGTGGCAGAGGATTGATCCCATGGGATGGCTGCGTGGTGGCCACTGCGGGATGCGGTGGGAGGGGTGTAAGGTGCCGGAGGGCACGTGTTCCCATCCCCACAACCAGTCACAGCCAGGCTGTGGCCTAGGGAAACCCCGCTAGATGGGGTGCAGGAATGAGGCCCCTTGCTAAGGTCTGAGCAGTACCTCTTCTGGGTATGATCAGGAGACCAGCCACTGAGACCCTTCACAGCCCCCAGCTTTCAGGGGTGGCCTGATCATTAGACACCCCTAACCCCCCTCCCTCAGGGCAAGGTGAAACTTCACCACCCCGGCCAAATGCCAGCCAAGGAGAATGATCTCTTCCCCCCATTCCTTCTGCGTCCTGGTGCAAACCCAGCAGGAGCTGAGTTCAGGAGGGGCCAGAGGCTGGAGAGATACAGCCCCAGTAGGCTCAGCTTGGGGGGCAAGCAAAGGGGACCCAGGGGCTGCTCTAACTTACAGCTGCCGACAGACCACTTCACATCCCATGCCGCCCAAGCTGCTCCCAGCACCTGCTATGCCCGGGGGTCATGAAGGAGGGAGAGGGCACAGGGCCATCTGTGACTGGCGAACACCAGTGAAAAGTAGGGAGGGGGCTTGTTAATGTAACTACTCAATTTTCAGAGGTTCCCAGCATGATTGAGAGCCTCCCCCCCCCCCGGGTCAGTTCCCCACCTGGAGAAGGGACAGCGAGCGCCCAGGGGAACGTCACTGGGCATGCTGCTGCTGCCCCCGCCTGCCAGCGCCCCCCCACTCCGGCCTGGGACTTCCTCTTTTCCTGCCCTTGTTTGTCCTCTTTAATTCCTGTTTGTCTTTAACATCGGTTTGCCTTTCCTGCCCACTGCCGGCCGGTCCGGCCTGCTGCGTTGCCAAGCTGGGTGCCCTGGCCCCGCCCGAGGAGCTCAGATCTGTAACAACAGCTTGGCCGGGCGGCCGGGGACCAGCTGGGAGCCTGTCCGTCAGTGGCAGGTTCTCACCCCAGCTGACCGTACGCTTGGCCCCCGCGGTCATGCTCGGGCAGGGATGTTTTGGTGCCTTTACCGATGGGGAGACCCAACACCCGCCCGGGCCCTCGTCCTGACTCTCAGCCCTCGGGAGTGAAAATGACGCCAGAGCTGGGGCACGTTGAGCCGTGGTTTGAGCGACAAGGTGCCGGTCTTGAGCTGCCACCGCCAGCTTCTCCCTTTCTGATACGGGCTCACGAGCAGTGGGGGGTGCAAACCCTTTCCGAGAGGAAGAGCCCCAGAAGGATGGGGCGGGGGGAGCAAGTCAGCACACCAGGATGTGCTCGTGCGAATGCCGTCCCGGTGAGAGGGTCACACTCACGGCCCTGGGACTGGAGCCCGCGGCAGCAGGGCGAGCGCCCGCCCCCAGCCTGAAGAGACCCTCGCTGGGGGCTGGGCCTGGGATGGACCTGAAGGGGCCTTCAAGGGAGAGGCGTCCCGCCCGCACACAGCCCGTAGAGAGCTGCAGTGGGACTGGCCCTGCTCCCGGCACATGGCTCACACGGTGGATCAGGGGCATGGCCAAAGCGTCACAGGGGGCCAGAATGGGAAATGGAATGTCTTGGAGCGGCCAGCACCAGCCGGGCCCCACAGAACAGGGAGCCCCTGCAGACCCCGTCCCTGCTCCACGTGCAGGACGGGAGTAACTGAGAACTGGGGCCTTGTCCTTGGTCTCTCTCCTGACATCATGGCAAGCGGCTGGGCTGCTGGCGGACGTTGTTTCCAGTCCCGTTGGCAGGTGGGCTGAGACCTCCCTGCTCATTTAATGGGGACCCAAAACGGCTGCCACCAGGTGACAACTTGCAGTCACCTGCCGCCTTGGCCAGAACTGACTTGGGGAGCCAGGTGTCAAAGCTGCCCCAGTGGCCGAGGGGTCCAATGCCTGGTGAATGCTAGTGCAGCCTTTAGAGCTGTCACGCCGCCCGCCGTGAGGTTCCTGCTTTAGTGGAGGAGGAGATTAAATTCCTGACTTTATTAGTTGCCTTTGTCCCACCCCCAGCCTGCTGCGTGGTTTTTCCCTAAGGAAACTCCCCAGGATCCCATTGTCAAAATGGAAAAGGAGGACTCGTGGCACCTTAGAGACTAACAAATTTATTTGAGCATAAGCTTTCATCTGCCTCTGTCATTTGTTTTTATGACTAACTAGCCCCAGTTCCCCAGGTAGCTGTAACTGACCCATACCCTGGAAAGTCCCACGGGCGGGTTCGCTTGGGGCAAGTGGCCTTGGCTTTCACGAGAGATGCCCAGAATCCGCGCTGTGGTTAGTACCAAGCAGCAAAGAAAGCCGGGTACTGGCCCTGTAGCTAATCCAGTGACTATTTGAAAGGGCAGTTGTCAAACACGCATGGATTACAGGTGTTCGCCATGTCCTAGCCATGTTGGTACCCGGCTGACAGAGGGACAAGGGGGTGAGGTAATACCTTTGATTGGCCCAGCTTTGAGGACAAAAGCGGAAAGAAAGCCAGGCTCCCTGCAGAACGAAGGTCACGTGCGTCCTGCAGGCTAAAGTCTCTCCTCGTCCCCACTCCCTCGCCCCACAGCGTGTCATCCAGACAACATGTTCCCCACTGGGCCAGCCAGGGAGGGGAGAAGGGCACTGAGTTCAAATCCTGACTCAGACACAGGCTGGGTGCTGGAGCCTCGGGGCAGCCACTTGTCTGTCTGGGTAGTGGGGATAACAACATCGGCCTCCCCAGGGAGTCACCAGGGTTAGCTAGAGCTAAGCACTGTTCTGATAACTCCTACCCCCCTGCTGCCGCTCGCCACCGCTCGGCGGCGGTTCCCAGGCATGTAGGGGCATCGGACAGGTGAAACAGGCAGCAGAGCTAGACTCCGGACAGGGGCAGCCGCACAAGCTGGACATGCTGGGGGAAGAGGGTGGGCGGAAAAGTGCCCTGGGAAAGCGCAGCGAGGAGCCTCCTTGGGGAGAGCCTGCGCGAGGCAGGCAGACTTGCTGGCCCTCCTGGCCGAGACAGGGCCAGGGAAATGCCTCTACAGCCAAGCCCCGGCTCCTGGCGTTTCGCCTGGGGGCATAGGCTGACCCGGAGCCGGTGCCCCAGGTCGCTGCCCCCACAAGCAGGGTCAGCGCTGGCCTGCCAAGCCTGGTCGCTCAGGCCCTGTGCACGCTAGAGCCTTCTCAGACCCCCGTATGCCCCCCCGCCGGGGCCTCGCCTGCCCACCGCAGCCCCCCAGCCAGGCTGCAGGCCGGTGGGGATAATGCCATGTCGCATGTCCCTGGGGCTCTGTGCCCACAGACCCCCCCCATTCCCTCCAGGGGGCAAGCGACCCCCCGTTACAGGGGGGCACCCCAGGAGAAGGGGGAGTGTTGATAGCAGGGAGTTGACTGCTCAGAGGGAGCTCCCCAGCCACACCTGTGGCCCCAACCCCTCACCCTGGTCTCAGGCCCTTCATGTGATCTGCTGCCCCCTCCCTCCACTGTCCTCCCCTCCCCAGGGAGGTGCTGCCTTGTCCAGCCCCCTCCTCATTCACTGAACACTGAGCTACCAGCCCCACACACACTTCCTTCTGCACCCCACCTCCCCAGCCCATCGCCCCTGTGTCTCCCCCACCCCCCCGTGTCTCCCCCAGCCCACCTCCCACACCCCCATGCCTCCCCAGCCCATCTCCCCCAACCCATCACCCACCCCCGTGTCTCACCCAGTGCTCTCCCACTCCCCATGCCCCCACAGCCCCTCCCGCATCGCCTACCCCCAGGCCTGCTAGGGTTGCCAGTTGTGGTTGGACACATTCCTGGTGGTTTCTTCACATGACAAAACCTTTAATTAAAGATTTGTCTTTAATTCCTGGAAACTCCAGGGCAATCCTGGAGGGCTGGCAACCCTAATGCCTCCCCATCCCATTCCCCCACCCCCATGTCTCCCCCAGCTCATCCCCCCTCTCTTGCACCATCCCACGGTCCCCATCTCCCCCACCTCCCATGTCTCCCCCAGCCCATCCCCCATTTCTCCCACCCCCATGGTCCCCCCAGCCCATCCCCCCTCTCTCCCACCCCATGGTCCCCATTTCTCCCCCATGCCATCCCCCCTCTCTCCCACCCCCCCATGCCTCCCCCCAGTCCATCCCCCATCTCCCCCAACCCCTCCCCCATGCCATCCCCCATCATCCCCACTCCCATGTGCCCCCCCAGCCCCTCCCCCCATCTCTCCCACCCCCATGGCCCCCCAGCCCATCCCCCAGCCTCCCTCCCCCCTCCACATTCCACTCTGCGTCCGTCATCCACTGCGTGCGAGTTCAAACTTTCGAACCTGCCAATCAGGACACCTTGGGGGCGGGGCTTAGGCGAGGGGCGGGGCGTTGAGGGGGGACACACCTATCTCCCCGCCCCTTCACCCTTAGCCCCGCCCCCTCGGGTATATAAGGCCCCGCCCGCGGGGCTGCCCAAACTTCTTCTCACTGGAGACTCCCTAAAGGGTCGGATAGTGAGAGACGCCGCTGCCACCCCACAGTCATGGTGAGTGCGGGCCCCGGGTTCGAGTCCCCCGCGGCGAGCCTTCCACGCGGGACCGTGCGCACTGTGGGGGGCGGCTGGAAGGGAGCTGGGGGGCAAAGTGTGGGGGAGGGGCGCGATGGGGCTGGGCGGGCCGCGTGGGGAGGGGGCGGGCTGGTGGGTGGGGGGCGCCCTGGGGCAGCCGCAGCTCGGCATGCCGGGGGGGGGGCGCACCGGCTGCAGCGACTCCGGGGCCCCAAGCACGCGTGGGCCCCACCCGCCGCGCCTGGCCCCGCCGCGCCCCTGACCTTGGGAGGGGGGGCCAGCGCGGGCCCCCCCCGGGCTCCGGAGCATCCCCGGGCCGCGCCCTCGGCTTCTTGCTGCGCCACGCGGGGCGTGCCGAGGGAAGCGGGGGCGGGCCGAGCTCGGCCGGAGGCGGAAGCTCGCTTGGGGGGGGCGAGCTCGCTGCCCTGCGGCCGGGTCGGATCGGCCCCGGGGGGGGGAGCTGGTGCCTGGCGGGAGTTCTCCGGGGCGGGCCAGGCTCGGATCTGCCCCGGGCTGGGGCCCTGCAGACAGGAGCGCCCTGGAACCGGGCGTTATTGCTGGTCTGCGCGCTCGCAGGCGGGTATAACGCCTGGCCACGTGTTTCACTGCGGGGGGGGGGGTCTCTTCACAGTGATGGGGGACCGACCCCCCCACAGTTACAGACAGGGATAGTGCGAATCCACTCCTGCGGCCACCCTTGAGAATCGGACCCAGGAGTCCTGCCCGCTCCCTGCTGGGCCCAGGACACCGGAGCCTGGCTTTCCAGCCGCTTCTGCTAGGCCATGGTGGCCCCAGAGACCGGGGCCCTGGCCCTCGGAGCTAGCGGCCACGGGGTAGACAGCTGGTGCCGTGTGAACGGAAGCTGTAACCCGCAGCGGCAAGTGACTTTCGGGTTGGCCCCGTGGGAAGGGGCTGGGAAGATGCCCTGAGGGCAGAGAGGCAAACCAGGGCTCGGTCAAGGTGAGATAGGAGGGAGTAGTGAAAGCGGGGCTGGCAAGAGGAAGTGATGCCGGTTGGAGAGGGATTAGGCTGGCCCCGTTGGTCCTGGGTACAATATTCAGGAGCATGCAAATATCCTGCCCCCCATGCATGGGAGGCCAGTGCTCTCTCCTGGATCTGCGCCCCGCCCCGGGGACCTGCCCCTGTGGTGATGCGCAGGCTGCCGGGCCTGAGCGCCTTGCTTGGAGCAGTCAGGGGGTGAGTAATGCTCCGATTCAGCCAGGGTCACAATGGGCCTGGGATAGCGAAGGGCCTGGCCCGTGGCCCGCATTAGTCAGCGCTTCAGCGGGGCTAGGGGTGACTTCATTTTAGAAGTCGATGGCCCTAAATGGCCATTTCAAGTGACCTGAGGGGCTTCCAACAGCGAATGGCAACATAGCCTTTGCCAGCTCTCCTGACTTCTGGGTGCCTCCGTTTGCCCTCTGTAAGGAGGAGAAGGTTTTCCTACCCCTGGGGAGGAGGATTAGGGTTTGTGCCCTGCGAAGCCTTAGTCAGGTGCCAGCCTGCATTTCAGCAGGGACCGCCTCAGAAGCCCTGTGGCCGCGAATATGGAGAGGAAACACTTAGAGACAACGTTTCAAATGTTTCAGAGATGCTTGTGGGACGTTTCCATGGGCTCCGACAAGTTCAGTCCCTTGGCTTCCCTGGGGGGCAGCCAAATCTCTGCTTCGGCTGGAATTTCTGGCCACTTTAACAACTTTTTAGGAAAAGAGAAGCCGTTTTCCAGACCTTGCGGCTGGCTGTGCTCTGGCTAGACTCGCCAAGGTGCAGTGCGGCCTCCCCTATGGGGTTAAAACCGGCTGACCACAGCCCTTCAAATTACAGCTTTTGTGGCTGCTTATCTGGCATGTTTTTCCATGAGTCAGATGGCTGGAGCTTGCTGGTTTAATCTGGCTTAAAGGGGAAAAAGGGCCTTCTATTGAAAGAATAGGACTGAAGCAGAGGCTGAATTAGCTCAGTGAGGGTTACACAATCGCTGGGAAGCCATGGATCAGGGACTGAAAGGAGGAATTTGCATGTTTCCATGGGGCCCATCAGGAATGTTCCCTGGAGCTGGAGGCTGGCCTGCGGGTATACAAACTGGTGGGACCCAGGGAAGCAACACTTCAGCGACTAGGCTGCAGCTGAGAACTTGCTGCCTCATCACATGTCTGATTTTGGGTCAAATCTGCTTTGACTCTGCAAGCCAGAGCTGCCTTGACTAGCTGCTTTCAGGCACCCAGCCAGCCTGTAATGTGGCTTCTCTGAGCTGATGTGGTTGGGGAAAACCCTTGTCTGGCCTGGTTCGGGAGCCGTGTGTGTGTTCTGATAGATGCCTTGGCTAAAGAAATGGTTCCTTAACAGTCATAGCATACTCTTCCCACCCCGGGGGAGTGGTAATTGGCTGGCCACAATCCTGTCAGGGCCAGCTCCTTTCCTGCTGGGGGGCTTCCTCTTGGCTCCTCTCTGGCCTAGAGACTTTCCTGGAGGTGTTTGCACTGCGGGTCACGTGCCTCATTTGTAAATCTAATCTTTCTAATCATAGAATCTCAGGGTTGGAAGGGACCTCGGGAGGTCATCTAGTCCAACCCCCTGCTCAAAGCAGGACCAATCCCCAACTTTTGCCCCAGATCCCAAATGGCCCCCTCAAGGATTGAACTCACAACCCTGGGTTTAATCTTGCACCATCATGCCCCATGATCAGCTGGTGACACTGTGTGCAAAACCACCCCCAGCCAGGCTGCTCAATGTCCCTTTCTCCCCGCAGCGTGAGTGCATCTCTATCCACGTCGGCCAGGCTGGTGTCCAGATCGGCAATGCCTGCTGGGAGCTCTACTGCCTGGAACATGGGATCCAGCCTGATGGCCAGATGCCCAGTGACAAGACCATCGGCGGAGGAGACGACTCCTTCAACACCTTCTTCAGTGAGACGGGCGCTGGCAAGCACGTCCCCAGAGCCGTCTTTGTGGACTTGGAGCCAACAGTCATAGGTGAGTTCTGGGCTCCCTGGAGTAGAGTCCTGAGCCTCGTGTTCCTGCGATCTCCATGGAGAAGGCGCCTAATGCTAACTCTTCTTCCCTCCCCAGATGAAGTGCGCACTGGAACCTACCGCCAGCTCTTCCACCCTGAGCAGCTCATCACCGGCAAGGAAGATGCTGCCAACAACTATGCCCGTGGGCACTACACCATTGGCAAGGAGATCATCGACCTGGTTCTCGACAGAATCCGGAAGCTGGTGAGTGAGTCTCTGCCCAGTGAGGCCAATCTGGGGTGTGCCCACAGCATTGTCTGTGGTCCAGCCTTGGCAGCAGAACAGTGCTGATGCGTATATGTGCCAACCCCCGTTCTACCTGAATTGGCTTCCTAGCAAATGTCTCCTGTTCCGGACGGGAGCGAACCCTTCTCCCCGTTCAGCAGCAGAGCAGGGAGGGGCTGAGGGCCTGTGTCCTAGATGGCTAGGACAATGGAGTGAGCGTGCTGGTGAAGGGAGGGATGTGGGGGCGGGTCTGCACCCATGTTATGCAGATATTGGGAGTCTTGGATTTAGTGTGGGGTTGGAACAGACTGGCCCCCCATGGGGCAGGGCATGAACAGAGCAGACAGGCTTATTTGCCTGCTTGGTTTCAGCCTTTACGACTTCTCACCTTCCTGACTGGCTCGTTCTCACAGCTGCCTGTCCTACCCCACTTCCATGGGGGTGGGGGGGGCCCTCTGCCCCTGTGTGACACTGGAGGGGAACTACCTCAGTCTCCACCCTCTTCGCCAGGCAGACAATCACTGGTAGTAGGCGGTTGGGGGCGAAAGACTCGGCTCTGGAAGAGCTGCTGTCTCCAAGCAGTGACATCGCTGTGGGTTCCTTGGGTGGGTCTGGCTGAGGGTGCTGTCTAGAGCACCGAACCCACTGAGGGTGGGGGACCAGCTGTCAGTCTTGTGGCCAAAAGGCTCATCAGGAGCAGATGCTCCTGTCCCAGCGGGGGCGGGTGAGAAACCAAACTGTACTTGATCAAAGAGCAGAGCTGGCCAAGATGGCCTGGGTCAGGGCCTGGCACGAGCAAGGCTTGTGTGACCAGGATCTCAGTGCAGGTTCCGGAGGCAGCTTGTAATGACTTTCTTCTAACAGGCCGACCAGTGCACCGGTCTCCAGGGCTTCCTGGTCTTCCACAGCTTTGGAGGTGGCACTGGTTCTGGGTTCACCTCCCTGCTGATGGAGCGTCTCTCCGTCGACTATGGCAAGAAGTCCAAGCTGGAGTTCTCCATCTACCCCGCTCCTCAGGTCTCCACCGCAGTGGTGGAGCCCTACAACTCCATCCTGACCACCCACACCACCCTGGAGCACTCTGACTGCGCCTTCATGGTAGACAACGAGGCCATCTATGACATCTGCCGCAGGAACCTGGACATTGAGCGCCCCACCTACACCAACCTGAACCGTCTTATTAGCCAGATCGTGTCCTCCATCACCGCCTCCCTCCGATTCGATGGTGCCCTGAATGTAGATCTGACAGAGTTCCAGACCAACTTGGTGCCCTACCCCCGTATCCACTTCCCTCTGGCCACCTATGCCCCGGTCATCTCTGCTGAGAAAGCTTACCATGAGCAGCTGACTGTAGCAGAGATCACAAACGCTTGCTTTGAGCCAGCCAACCAGATGGTGAAATGTGACCCCCGCCACGGGAAATACATGGCCTGCTGCCTCTTGTACCGTGGGGACGTGGTGCCCAAAGATGTCAATGCTGCTATTGCCACCATCAAAACCAAGCGCAGCATCCAGTTTGTGGACTGGTGCCCAACTGGCTTCAAGGTTGGTATCAACTACCAGCCCCCCACTGTGGTTCCTGGCGGTGACCTGGCCAAGGTGCAGCGGGCCGTATGCATGCTCAGCAACACCACAGCCGTTGCCGAGGCCTGGGCTCGTCTGGACCACAAGTTTGACCTGATGTACGCCAAGCGTGCCTTTGTTCACTGGTACGTAGGGGAGGGGATGGAGGAAGGCGAATTCTCGGAGGCTCGGGAGGACATGGCTGCCCTAGAGAAGGATTACGAAGAGGTGGGGGCGGATAGTGTGGAGGGCGAGGATGAAGGAGAAGAGTATTAACCGGTCCTGTCTCTTCCCTGTGCTGTCACTTCATTCTGTTCTCTCTGTTCCTGTAAAACTCTCCACAGTGTCCTGTAGTCATTAAAAGTGCTCTTCCTACTTGGACCGTCTCGTTTACTCTCCTTCAGCGGAGCTCCGGCTCGGCCCTCGGGTGGGCCAGGGCAGGCTTAATGAGGAGCAGCTATTGAATGGGAGGGGGGTGGGGCTGTTCTCCACTCCTCGCCAAGCTGAACACTGGCCTGGGACCCTCAGCCCGTGACCAAGCCGCTGCATCGGAGCAGTGCCCCGGTCCCGCTTCAGCGATTCACTGAAGCCACTTGGCATGGGCTGGAGCCCTGCTGAGGGGTAGAAGTGCTGTTATGGTGACCAGGCACTCGCTGTAGCTTCCTGCCTCTCCCGGAGACACTCATCCAGCTCCCATCTGCCACAACTTGGGGGCAGGGGGTGTCTGACTCCACCATGGCCTCCTGGGTGGCATAGAGACCTCCCTGTGTGCTGTGCAGGGGACAGGACCCCCCTTGCTCATACAGCTGGGCACAAGAGTGCGACCTGTCCCCACCACAGCCCAGTCCAAGCAGCTCCTAGCCTGCCATGCAGGCACTGGGCAGAACTTCATTCTTGGCCTGGGGTGGCCAGGCCCTGCCAGGCATGGGGCAGGTGCTAGGCATGGGGCAAACTGCCCAGTGCCTGGCCTGGGGAGCCCCTGGCTCATGCCAGCAGGATGGGGGGCAGAAGCTGAACCCAGCCAGAGATCCAGCAGCCTGACTGCTCTTGTACAGGCTCTCGTGTGCAGCTGCCTGTCCTGCTCAAAGGAACCAGGCACACCCTGGTGAGGGAACCCAGGCATCCTGCCTCCCGTTCTTCCCGGGAATGGCTGCAGTCCATCTAGCTGCCTGGACCTATTGGAGCGGGAGATTGCTCTGGACTATCTGCACCCAGTATTAATGCCTCCCCCTGAGCTCCATCCAGGGCTCTGAGGGTCACCGCCACTTAACAGGGAAGTTTTCTCCCTTCTGTAGTCCTGGAGGAAGCCTGGGCACAGGTAGGGATAGTGCAGCCCTATGCTGACCACTCACTGAGCCCTTCCCTTTCAACCCCTATTCAGCAGCATGCAAGGGTCCTTGCCCCATCCCTGTGTCCTAACTACTCCCATGCACTGAGTGGGGCCAGGACTTTGTGCCTCAGTTTCCCCTGAGTGGGGAGCCGTGCGGGGGAGAAGGGCCAGGCTGGCCAATAAAGCAGCAGATGGTGGGTGAGGACTGGCCCCCGCAGTTCGGTTTGGATTATGCTTTTCTGTGTCAGTACCATAGCTGGGCTGGATTTCCCAGTGTCCCTGACCATGGCAGTTTCCCTCCAGACAGCCCCTGGCATCCGCCTCCCCCAGCACCAGGCGGCAGCTGCTGTTGGGCCAGCTCCTGGGAGAAAATGGCAGCAGGCTGCAGAGACACCAAGGGGGAGGCTGGCATGGGCTCAGGCCTGCTGGCCCCAGCCTGGCAAGGGCAGGGGGACACCCCCTCCTGCTAGTTTAAATGTCCTGCTAAGATGCTGTCAGCTCCTGGCTGTGCAAATGGCACCATGTTACTCGGCCTGTCTGCTCCCCTGGCTGTAGGGGCTGGCTCCCCTCTGTGAGCCCTGGGGAGCAGACCCACTGTGAGCGGGGGGGTAGAGACTCCTGCCCCAGAGACATTTCAGCTTGAAGCCAGCAGCTCCCCAAGGAGAAGGGGGAGCAAGGGATGGGACTGTCATGTGGCCCAGCAGGGGCTGGTAACAGCTGACACTGGCCAGTCACTGGGGTGGGGTGGCCCTTTCTCTTCTCTCCAGGGTGGCAGTTGCAGGGGCCTGTGGGCTGGACTGTGGGGGGAGTCCAGGGTGGTGCTCACAGGGGGTTGTGGGTCTGGACTGAGGGGCACTGGTAAAGCTCTGGGGGAAGCCCAGTGTGGCAGTCACAGGAGGCTGGACTGAGGGGGGAGCCCATGGTGGTGGTCGTGGGGGCTGCAGTCAGGTTGAGGGGCAGTGGCAGAGCTGTGGGGGGCTGTGGGTCTGGACTGGGGGGAGCCCAGGATGGCTGTTGCAGGATGGGCACTGGGATGCCCAGAGGAACAAGGTGCAATCACCCCCGAGGCCTAGGGTGCTGCTTGCAGTGTTTCTTCCTTGGCAGCTGGCTGAAGGTTGTGTCCTGCAGGGCTCCTTCTTTGGGCTGCTTCACCCCTAAAATGGCTGGGGGAGGAGACAGCAGGGGGCCCCTGCCCCACGTACACTGCAGGGGCAGGGCAAATGCCTCACCCGATGTCACCCTGGAGCAGGAGAAGCCGGGGGGTTGTCCCACTCCCTTTGTTTGTTGGGGATGGAGGGTGCTCTAAGGGTGCTGAGTGGTCAGAGCCCCTGTGCTAGAGAGAGGTGATGCCGTGCTGGGATTGCGAAGGGGACCCCTTGCCGCTCCCGGTCCACAGCGGGGGCTATTTGGCAGGCTTCCACCCATGCACCTGCAGCCCCAGTGATGGCTCCCCGGCCCCGCTTTGTGGCAGACCCAGCAGGTACCAAGCAGGCTGGCTAGGTAATGAGCTGGCGGGAGGGGGCTGGAACCCCTGGGAGGGACAACAAATGCCAGCTGCCAGGGCCACCGAGCTGGGGGGCCTGATGGATCCTTCCCTGCTGCCAGCGCCGGGTGCTCAGTTCTGATCTGCACCTGGGGGATTCTCGGGCGGTGGAACCTGGGCAGGATTTTCCTGCCTGGAATTTCAACTGGGGAGGAGGGGGAACGTGTGGTGTTGGATGGGGGGGCAGGGGGGACTCAGCTCATTGTCCGAGAGGCACTGGAGTGAATGCTGGGGCTGATTTCTCCTCCCTAAAGAGTGCGGGGGACCTTGAGAGCTGCTCTGTGTGTTCCCACCCTGGGAGTGCCCCAGGCCTTTTGCACCAGGGAAATGCAGCTCCTTCTGGGGTGCAGCACAGTCCCTGTGTGGTGGGGGGGGTTGGATTTTAACCAGTGGCCCCCTGGCTCTTAAACCAAGACTGCTGGGGTTTGTGCTGCACTGTGGGGTGAGGGGGTCCCCATGCAGGCCATCAGGCATAGGCCCCCATCCCCCTTTATCTGTGGCCCCAAAGGGGTGGGTGCCCCCTCTCCAGCTCTAGCTGTGGGGTTTGCAGGCTCCCCCCATTCCCTCCGTGTTGTCTCACAGTCCAGGGGATGGGCGGTGCTGTCAGGGAAGGGGGGTGTCACTTGGTTCCCACGGCAAATGGTCCCACCTGAGTGAAGGGGGTGGGGGAAGAATGGCGTGAAGGGAAGACAAAGCCATGGGGGGGAGCCTCATGCTGCAGGACTGAGACACCCAACATGATATCCAATAAAATAAAAACCAGCAGGATCATCTTAAAGGGGAAAAGGCAAAATACCACATTTATTGTGAATACAGAAAGAATCCTAGTAAGCAGTTAGTTACAGCGATAACATTCCATTTATTCTCACATTCATTCATTCACACACACACGTTCTGCAAGGTTATTATCGTAGTTACCAGCCACTGGCCAGGTCCATTTTTGTAGGAATTTCTTCCTGGGCCAGTCTATGGAATTGCTTCATCATGCTGTTGCTGAATCAATCAGCGGATGGCACATTCCTGACGGCTCCGTGCTGCCAGATGTGATCTTGTTCTTTGGGTCTCCCATCCTTGAGGCTGTTGGGTGGATTCTAGTCTGCCCTCCGGGGTCCTCTGGTTATTTCCACTTGACGCCTTCTTCAGCCGATGGACACCGGATTCTTAGGCTGGCACCTCCCTGATCATTCAGTTATTATCCACACCAAGCGTCCATCCACATACATCCTCTATCTCTATTTTAATCACAATTGTTAACAAAGCAAGATGAATACAACAAAAGGGCGGGGAGTCTCTGGGTGCTGTTTCTGTTGTTACAGAGTATTGCTTTGAGTCTCTCTCTGTGTGAATTGCTTTGAGAACAGACTCTGTCTTAGAATGTAATACTAAAATTAGCAGCTTGCAAGTTTCACACATTGTGGGAGAGAAACAGTACCAAAAACCAAGAGACCTCTTAATTAGTAATACCCTGGAATTTAAACTATGGGGACTCAAACTCATTTGTGATTTTAATACAGAACTTCTTTAATATGATCCAACAAACAGGCCTGGGCCCCCTGGAATGGGGTTATGGAGCCTTTTGCCTTGAGGTGGCCAATTCCAATCCTGCCCAGGGGCAGTGACTGGCCTCCTCAGAGACCCCCCCCTCCCCATGCAGTGAGTTCACGGGTTCTCAGCATGGACTGGCCCCCTCATTAACCCAGACCTGACTGGCTGCGTAGGCTGAGGGCCCTGGGTCAAAGTTGGAGCGTGGGGGGAGCTGCTGCCTGGCCTGGACCCACTGTGGGGACAGATGGGGACTTCAGTGCCCATGGTGCTGCTCTGGAAATGCCTACAGACCAGTCTGGTGCCAAGGCCCCTACGGAAAGGACGTGGGTCGTGTCTGGGGCCGGACCCAAAGGCCACTGCAGTTAACGAGGGTTCTTCTGTCGGACTCATGGACCTTGGGATCGGGCCACTGGGTCCGAGGGGTGGGGGGGGAGACAAGGGGCTGTGGATTGTGTGACGCAGTCATCGCCTGACCCGGGGGAGGGGGGCGGCGCTTGGGGCAGAATCTGGCTCTTGTAAATAGTGAAGAGATAAATGAACATGGCTGAAATAGCTCCTCTTAATTAATTAGCCTCTTGAGTTGGTCTGGCAACTTCCACCCTTCCAAGTTCTCTGTATGTATATCTATCTTCTTACTCTCTGTTTCATTCTAGGCATCCGATGAAGTGGGTTTTAGCCCACGAAAGCTTATGCTCTAATAAATTTGTTAGTCTCTAAGGTGCCACAAGTCCTCCTGTTCTTTTCGCAGATACAGACTAACACGGCTGCTACTCTGATGGCTGAGATTGTTCCCAGTTGCCTGAGAACTGGGAGCCCAAATCACTGAAGCAGATTTTAAAATATTGATTTATCCATCCACCCATCCCCATCCACTCCATCTGTTTATTCCTGTACACCCCCTCTATCTATCCCCATCCACCCCCTCTATCTATTTCTGTACACCCCCTCTATCCATCC